TTTTCTTTTTCCTCTTTTTCTTTTTCTTTTTCTTTTTCTTTTTCTTCTTCTTATTTTTCTTCTTCTTCTTCTCCTTCTTCTTCTTTCTTCCTTTCTTTCCTCTCTTTCTTTCTTTCCTCTCTTTCTTTCTTTCTTGCTTTCTTTCTTTCTGTCTTTCCAGATGTCAGACGAACTAGGCCGTATTAAGCCACTGCTCGACGAAATGACAGAAACTGCGCAACACAGGATGTTCACCGGGTACTGGTTGTTACTATCCGATCCAAAGTGTTTAGTTATAACTCGTCTGAGGGAGGACATGACTGCCAGACTGAAGGCAATAGCTGAAACGAAGACCACCACGTTTGACGAGTTCCAGACATGGTTGGATGGTGAAAGGCATAGGCGCACCGCGGTCTTGAATCGGTTCGCCGCCCACATCACGAAGAGAACTCACAGGGAATCACAAGGACTTGATGTCGCATCTTGTGCCAGCCCTGAGAAGTCTGTGCTGAAGGAGTGGTGGGCATCGTATGATAGCCAAGAATATAATACGGGTTCGCTAACTTCTTCGTCACGCAGTGTCGTCGACCTCTTGGCCTTCGCAACAGACTGTATGCGCCACTATAAGAAAATCGTAGATGAGTACGGTCTCTGTGATGAGGGTGTCGCGACTACTAAGGATGACCTTCCTTGCAATATGACGTCTCTGTTGAGCAGTTGCTCGGACGTCATGGATGCTCTGCAACACACACGAGGTAGGTTGTTGGCTGGAGAAATGACGGTGACTTGTGTGAACGGAGTTGTCATGTGAAGTGCAGAAGGTGAAAGGACGAAGGCAGGTGAAGAACTCGACACAACAATGCAAACCTCCAGAGGAATTGGGACCATTGTCGGGGCCTACGCGCCTGCGCCGCATGCCCTGCTGGCGTGCACTGATGGTGCCTCACTGAATTGTCACCACGTTTGTCACAACTTCCCATGTGTCATCGCTAGCAAAACACCTTGTGCTGATGCAGAATCTGTTGCGCTGCCTATGACGACGGACACATTTCAAAAGTTCATTGCAAAAGCGAATTCGCGACAAATGGCGAGGCTGGTTGCGGACTGTCTGTCCCATCTCATATCATACATCAAAGAGATAATGGTACAGGTCGTAACGAACGCAGGTCAGCATTGAGGGAATAACGAATGTCAGCATTGCAGGAAAGGACTTCCCATCAACGACTGCTTAAAAACTCTTTACACAAGATATCAAATCGTGGCTGCGCGGGTGGTCAGGGACGAGTGATCTCTCTCTCTCTCTCTCTCTCTCTCTCTCTCTCTCTCTCTCTCTCTCTCTCACACACACACACACACACACACACACACACACACACATACACATACACACACTATTATGTATATTTATTGCTGCATGTATTACAACTTATTCGTCCACATTTTTTTTTCTATTATGTTCGCTGCGTTTTTCCGTATTGACATACTTGTGGTTCACTACTGCGTGCCATATCATTGTTCACCGCTGCTGTTTGTTGTCGTTCTGGCCCGCAGTAGTGTACTGCTCTCTGTCGCGCATGACATGTTTGTTGGAGTTCTGGCCCGCAGTAGTGAACCTCTCGCTGTGGCTGCATCTTTGCGTTTTCAACTACTTGTCGTTCACTACTGCGTGTCATATCAGTGTCAACCGGTGGTGTTTGTTGTCGTTCTGGCCCGCAGTAGTGAACCGCTCTCTGTCGCGCATGAGATGTTTGTTGGAGTTTTGGCCCGCAGTAGTGAACCTCTCGCTGTCACTGCATCTTTGCGTTTCCAACTACTTGTCGTTCACTACTGCGTGCCATATCAATGTCAACCGGTGTTGTTTGTTGTTGTTCTGGCGCGCAGTAGTGAACCGCTCTCTGTCGCTGCATCTTTGCCTGTCCAACAGCACGAGGTTCACTACTGCGGGCCAATGTCAGTCTCGCATGAGATGTTTGTTGCAGTTCTGGCCCGCAAAAGTGAACCTCTCGCTGGTGCTGAATCTTTGCGTTTCCAACTACTTGTGGTTCACTACTGCGTGCCAGATCAGTGTCAACCGGTGCTGTTTGTTGTCGTTCTGGCCTGCAGTAGTGAGCCGCTATCTGTCACTGCGTCTTTCCCTGTCCAACAGCTCGAGGTTCACTACTGCGGGCCAATGTCTGTCTCGCATGAGATGCTTGTTGGAGTTCTGACCCGCAATATTGAACCTCTCTCTCTCTCTCTCTCTCACACACACAAACACACACACACACACACACACACACAATGATGTGCGTTTAAGTGTTGCCTGTATTATTAATTTCTGCTTAGAGTAAATTTATGTCCATAATGTTTGCTGCTTTTTGCCTCACGACACACAAGTGGTTCACTACTGCGTGCCATATCAGTGTCCACCGGTGCTGTTTGTTGTCCTTCTGGCCCGCACTAATGAACCTCCCTCTGTCTCTGCTCTCTCTCTCTCTCTCTCTCTCTCTCTCTCTCTCTCTCTCTCTCTCTCTCTCTCTCTCTCTCTCTCTTTTCTCTCTCTCTCGGGTGAGGGGGCCATGTCACAACTACGTGTTCTCATAAATGTATGTGGTGTCTCCTGCAATAAATGGAACCCGCGATTGTATCGACTGTCAACGGTGGAGAGACATGCGCCATGGAGACGGAGGGCATTCTGAAGGGTTTTGCAGATGGCAGCAAGGAAGGGAATTCGGCTGGAGGGAACACCGCAGACTGTGCAGAGGTGCTTACGACAATATATGCACAGACTGCAGAGATGATGGTTGATGGTGATGAAATAGAGAATGATGCAGGAGGGAGTACTTGTGAGACGGAAAAGGTTGGGGAAGAGATAGAGGAGGGAGGTCTGGGAAGCAGGGAATCTCTGACAGGGTGTACTGTGAAAGATGAAAATGTGGTGAAGATATCAACAGGAGAAGAGTACCCATATGACATCAATTGGGTGTCGGGTCATGTCCAACCGGGTATTGTTGGAGGAACACCCTGCTTTGCGTTAAAAGTCGATGGGACATGGGTTCCATTTCCTGACCCCAAAATGAATACATGGCTCTACATTCTTTCATCGAGTGACCTGTAATTTGTGTGCTTGGTTTGTTAGCATCGACCCCTCTTCTCCCTCTTCCACGTCTGCACGCGCTTCTCTCTTTCCCACCCTCTGTCTGTCTGCCTGTTCTGTGTTGCGGTCCTGACCAATTTCGGAGTGTATACTCGGCAGAAAGTTCAATGGCGTCCAATTGCAAAAAGAAATGTATAAACATGAGGGGAGAGAGAGAAAAAAATGTGATTCTAAATCTTGCTTCCTCCCCTCTTATTCAAACAAGAAAGAACAACAATAATGTTGAATGGTTGAACATCATCTATGTTGCATTGACCAATCTCTACCGCAGGAAGAAATCGATATAGGTCAAAGATATGCATGGACAACACAAAGCGGTTTTGTGGTCTGTCTGCTCCGTCTGTTGTGGCTGTATGTCTGTCTGTTTGTCTGTCCGTCTGTCGTACGTACCTCGCCCCCCCATCTCCCTCCCCCTCCTGCCCTTTGCTAGTCATACCTTTTGCCATTTAGATATTTCTCTCCTAAGTATGTACTCGTCTGGTTCGAACAGGGGTTGTTGTGGGCAAAGAGTATCACACACACAGACAAACACAGACACACAGCCGCGTTATTCATACACACACACACACACACTGGCGATTTGAAATACCTGGGCCCACACATACATACACATACACACAGCGATACTCATACAGCCTGTCTAACACACACACATTCACATAGCCACACAGACACATACACACATTCTGGCGTGCACCGTTCAAGTTGGCTACTGCGTGCCATACACAGACCACACATGTCCGTTGTGACTTCAAGTGGCACGCAGTAGCCAACTTGAAGTCGGACACGCTAACACGTGCACAACCAAACACGCATAACAAATACACACACACACACAGGCATATACAGAAAGACACACACACACACACACACACACACATACACACACCCACACACACATTCTGGCATGCACCCTTGAAGTTGGCTACTGCGTGCCAGAAACTGACCAATGATGATCGTTGCGACTTTGAATGACACGCAGTAGCCAACTTGGGAACAGACACGAAGATACACGCACAAATCATTCATACACATTCATCCATAGACATATACACAAAGACACACAAGCATCCACATAGGTTTACACATAGACGCCACACACACACACACACATACACAGCGTCACAGATACACACACACACACATACACAGCGTCACAAATACACACACACGGATATGGGTGGAGAGAGAGAGAGGGAGAGAGAGAGAGAGAGAGAGAGAGAGAGTCGTTGACGTCATTGTGCGTTTCCGTTGGCAGACAGAGAGGATGAAAGACCAACCCTACACATCATGTCGATGTCAGTAGCACAGGTGGAGGCTGCTCTTGTAGAGGTAATGAAGTATGCAAAGGAGGGCGTCCACTACAACGGTGATAGCGAGTTGTCTTTGCTTGAGGACAGGGTGCTGAATAGTCGGTGTGGATATGAGATCCACGATCATGGCAAACGGCGAGGGTTGTGTCAAAGCACGAACACTCTTGCAACGCTTCAAAGAGTCACCACATGTATGTGTGGACAGCGATATGAAAGACAGTGCATACAATCTAAAAGGAGTGGTCCAGTGGATGTGCAGCGAATGGATGTGCGAAGAAGGAGACGTGGACATGACAATGCAGCAGAAAGGGGGGACATATAGACCTGCGGATTTCAAGAAGTTACAAGGCGCTGTGGCAAAGAATTGGGAAATGTTTGTTGATGGGTCGAACGACGAGTTGAAGAGTGGTGCTGCACAAATCTTGATGTTGTCTAGAATGAAGGACATTACACAAACACCGCCAGAAGACTTTCGAGATGTTCCTGTCATTGTTGGAGATGGTGTGGAATATGTTCTGCTGGATCAACTTGTGGACTTCATGAAGAAGAGTGTCGACGACAGGAACGTCATCCATGAGGCGTTGCACGAAGTCACTTAGTTTGCACTGCAAGGTCAAGATCTGATAGAATTTGTGCCAGCAAGAACAAAATACAACATCATATCTGGTAGACCATTGTGGGGGGAGTTATTATCAGCTGCTTTGGAGCGGCTCGGTCTTGCAAGTTGCGATGTTGAGAGACAAAGAGAAAGAGAAGAAGGGTGGAAGGTGATGGTCAGGGAAACAAATTTAGCAATCATTCCAGACAACGGACAGACATCAGCAGCACAAAAATCAATAACCAGTATGGCAGTCGATGTGCCTCCCATGCAGACAGCAACGAAAGAGGAGTTAGTGTATTCCGATATCTTCAATGCTTTCACAATGGAGAAAGAACAGTGTGATCGTGGATTTGATGAGGCCGATTTGTCAAGTTGTTTTGCAGAGTACACAGACAATGCAGAAGAAGAAGATGAAGAAGAGGATGAGGGGGTATCATCTTCTGACGTGGAAGTGAGTGGCAACAATGTTAGCAGCGACGAGGAAGACGAGGAACATGATGTATACTATGATTTGAAGGGGGCGGGTGGACAAGTGACAAAAGGGTGGGCACATGCAATTCTGAGGTTGGCACGTGTTTTTTCCGATCCGCACAAAGTGCTGCGTGTTGTGATGAAGATGGCAACACGAGATGGTGCACTACAGTATGCCGCAGTGACCAGCATAATGAAATTATGCAACACGGGGAAAAAGTGGTCACGTGATGGCAAGAGATGGTTTGTTCTGGTCAATAGAGAGGCTGTGCTAGCAACGCCACTGACATGGGGAGTCAACCTGAGTTTCCTCATACACGGCGCACTGGCGACAGCTTCGGGAGAGACATTGGATCCCGGCTTGTCAACAAGAGACGCAATAGCAAGTGCTCGGCCACGACATCGCACAGAGATACACCCACATACCACGACAGACTATGTTAGACATTAGGGATGATGACAGACATGCATAGCATAGAGCAATAGAGTAGTAGTACAAACAACCAGTGCACATACGTTTTGATACGCATGGGAAACTCAACCTGTACATCCCTCAACCTGTACATCCCTCTATGTCTGCCTCAATTTCAACGACAGTCGGGTTCACTACTGCGTGTCATATCAATGTCCACCGGTGCTGTTTGTTGTCGTTTTGGCCCACACTAGTGAACCTCTCTCTCTCTCTCTCTCTCTCTCTCTCTCTCTCTCTCTCTCTCTCTCTCTCTCTCTCTCGTATGTCGAGTTGTAGCTATATTAGAACCTGCACATCCATCTGCGGGTTCTGTGTCATGCTGCCTGTTGTTTGCCTCTCCAAGTACATGCGGTTCACTACAGTGTGCAGACACAGGGTTGAGCAATATTTCAATCATTTGATGTTTGTTACGATGTATGTCTTAATTTGTTGCCTTCTGGAGTACGTGAGACACATCAGACCCCCTGTGATGACCAATGTGTGTATGTTGTGTTTTTTTTTTGCATTGTCTGTAATTTAAATTCAAATGTATTAGGTTGTGAAATGTTTTGGAAGTGGTTGTGGAGGTCGGTTGAGGTGCCGAGGTGCAATCATTTTCATGCGGACATGGAAAACACATACCACATTCACAAACGTCGTGGATAGATAGTTGCGAAGTTGGGCAGCCGCACAAACGTGGTGATGAATGTTGTGTCATATATCGTGTACCATGCGTAAGTCGTTGCCTCTTCCAACACGACCATAAAACCTGTCATGACATATAAATTATCGTGTCGCACTGTTGACTACTAATCTTTGTCAATTGGGATCAGCGACACAGACCATTCGTACCAAAAACGGCACTCAGTAGTCCCTCTCTATCTCTCTCTCACAGAGAAGAGGAAACGCAACACTTACACAATATAACAAAATATGCTCTGCAACTTATAATTCAAACGACCTGAACCAATGTACAAAATGCTAATCAAAACACTGTCCGCACCGCTCTGTTTGGTTTTTGAATGCACTGCATGCACAGAAAATAGACAGCGGTCCACGGGTGTGCGACTGTGGCAAGCCTTTCATGTCATTACGAACTTTGAACTCACATCGTGCGAGGGCATGCCCGGTCGTGGTGGACGAAAGAACACATGGGCAGGAGATGGGTGTGGTTGATGACGCCGGACCATCAAGTATAGGTGCAGTGAATCTCGTGAGCGATGAGAGCGAGGACGTCGGGGCTCCCGAGAATGTAGACGGGGAGGGCGGGACATTCGAAGAGCAACAATTGCAGCCTGTCGAGTCTTTTGACAGCTCTCGCAAGCTGGTGGCACTGATTTTCTCTGCTAGGGGCGGCGTCGGTATGTCGCAGAGTGACATAGATGCTCTCTTGTCACTTCTCACACACCCGAGATTCAGCACGAGAGACATCGCGTATCGTAATAGTCGAGAGTGTTTGACATGGGCAGGGAGTCTAACAGAGGCTGCTGGATGAAAAGAGTTGGATCTACGTTGTGATGATTGGCCACGAGATGCGCACGCCATCTTGTGGCACCGCGACTGGCGAACGACATTTCTGTCGATTTTTTATATCGCATTATAGAAATGCGAGACGGTGTCTTCTCTAGAAGTGTCTCCGCCGTCAGAGCACCTCAGTATATCCGGCCTACGCAGCAGGGCGCTAAGTTATCACATCCTGTCGATCATTCGAGCGGACAAAGTTGTGGACGGGAATGGTAATCCACATTATGTTATCCCTCTTTCATTGTATTCCGACAAGACACATATAGACGGTCGTCAAAAACAGACGGCGTACCCTCTGATGATGTCACTAGCCGCCCACGCATTCGAAGCCATATTGCTGGCCTATCTTCCTGTGCTTCATCATCGTCCACGTGACAAAGGATGGGGTCTGCACCGCATTCAGAAAGTGAGAGGTCATCATTTTGCACAAGTCCATTACGGTGGTGTTGCAGTCTGCGAAGGAGGCATCTCATGACGGAATAATGATACCAACAACGCGATTCGGGGACATAACTGTCCACCCTTTCCTCCTCAACTATATCCAGGACTACCCAGAACGATGTGCGATTGCAACTGTGAAGTTTGGTGTATTTCCGACATGCACCGTATCCAAAAACGACTTTGATGTTATAGCCGATTTCACAGACTGCAGGAGATCACAGACGCTGGAAACACACCTCACAGCAGATGTGTTCACCGCTGACAATATCGACGTTCACCGTACAGCGAAAGCACGAATGTCGGAGTTGAACATGCATAGGCATGTTCAACAGAACGGCCTTTGGGGGTTCTACAGGGGCCCCAATGGTGACGATCCTTAGCTAGACTACCGCCTGGCATTGCAACCAAACCGTATGCACACAATCGAGCACGACATATTCCTGCACATGATTGATGCATTCAGGACCGCAGCCTTTGAGAAGTTGCCGCACTTACTGCAAACAGAGATCCTGAAGGATAAATGCAAGGTTGCAAAGCGTTAGTAAGAGATGCACGCGAACATACCCCCAACTTGTGCTGCCGGTGGCCACTGACAACGACTTTTTTTTGAGGGAGGGACGGTTCGAGGCAAAGTAAAACCGGTTTGTGATGACAGTGTGCGTGTTCCTTATTTCTAATATTATCCCTCGCTCGACAGGCAATGACATTACCGTTTGTTTTCTGAAACTGATGGAAATGTATATACGAGTGTTTCGGTGTACAACACACACTCGTGCTTCGCTCGATGCATGCAACTCTTTGATCACGGACTTCATAACGATCATCAAAGCAAAATTGAAAAAATATTAACCATCAACATGGAAACTCCCCAAGTTGCACAATCTCATGCATCTAAGAACGTGTATTGAGCGATCCGATGTCCCCGACACCTTCGCGACAGATGTTTGGGAGCATCACCACAGGAAATTCTGCAAACAGCCATACCTGTCATCAAACAAGCGGAAAGCTTCAACCCATATGGTAAACCACGTATGTCAGTCATTGGCGTTGCGCGACGAGATCGGGATCGTGAGGAAACGAAGGAAGAGAATGGTTGAGAACGGGTCGTCCGTGACAGACTGTAAAGCCACCGAAATGAACACCCTCGCGCTACGCGATACGGCAATGCTACAACTGTGGTGGTTCGACATCGATGACGAGTACATAAGCGAGGAAGAAGGCATTGACAACCATGCGTGTAAGATATTCAAAGAGTTTCCTTGCAGACGCGATTTTCAAGTTGCGCTTACGGCATACATGGTGGAGAATGGTTGTCAACTTCCTTCTGACGACCTGCTTATATACACACAGACACACCTGGCAATCGCCTGCGTACAGGACGGCACAAACAGGGACACACTTGTTCAAACTGCAAGAGCGTCGCCACAGTTTCATGGGAAACCAGTGCACAGTGACGTCTCAATTAGAGCAGGAAACAAATGCACATGGTTTGCATCAGTTGCCATGTTTTTTATCGTGGCCGCACCCGCGGACAACGGTAATATGGAACACAACTGCGGATTCGTGCAATGGTACAAGGAGGTGGACAGTGAACGGCAACACGTGACACGTTGCAAGAAATTGAAATGGAAGAAGTTGAATGGACATCAACACAGTAGCGTCGTTTCGACCGACACTATTGTAGACATAGTTCACATTGTTCCGTGCTTCTCTATACCACAATGGGGATCGAAGCAACATGCATAACAGTGTGAGAACTATTTTTATTTGAACAAGTACATATTGTAGAAGAAACAAATGCAAAGTTTCTATGTTTGCTATGAGTGAGAGAGAGAGAGAGAGAAAGAGAGAGAGAGAGAGAGAGAGAGAGGCGTCATAACGCCCTTCATCAGAAGTTTGATGAATTTTGTATCTGTCTATGTGTCGCCGTCACGGGACAGTCACGTTGTTTCTTCCGAAGTATAAGGGAACAAGAGAGGACATTCACCTCTTTCTTTCCGTTATTTGTTGAGAAATATCATGTCAAATGTGGCCAAGCTTATGAAGCGGTAAAACCATATGCGAGACGAAAGTTTCCCTAAAAGTTCACTACTGCGTGACATTTATGTAGTCAACAGTGACATCGTATCAGTTTTGGCACGCAGTAGCCTCTCTCTGTCTCTCTCTCTCTCTCTGTAGTATCCTATAAAAACGATTTGAAGTTGTTAAAAAACTTAACAAATCGTTTGTGTCATTCCATTTTGATCGACACGTATGAACAGGAACAAAAACTTATGACGTCGCGCAGCGTTCGGGAAGGAGCGACACAGAATACTGAATAACATGGTGCAGGTAAGAGAAGTCGAGCGAGGATGATAGAGTCACAGAAAAGTAACATGTGTGGTGGCGGCACGAAGTGGTCATAGATGGGTACAGAACCGGTCACCGGTCCAAGGATGGAAAATAAAGACGAAGAGCACCGCAGAGAGGTGGCAAGCGAACCGTTGTTGCCATTGACCAGTGAGAGGTCAACAAAGAGGTGGCAGAAAATGTTGAGGGACCCTTGGTACGAGGAAATGTATGATATAATGACAGAGGGTGACGCAAAGTCTCCCCAGTTGATAATCGAAGAGTCATCCGACATTAAGGGAAAAACGAAAGTCGGGGACATGACGAGAATGAGAGAAGAGCAGGCTGATAATTATGATGAGGACGAATTGTTCCCCTTCACGTGGAAATCAAACAGACACACTATACCCGTAACAAAATCCGACGTTGTACGATTGACCGACAACGAATGGCTGAACGACAACATTATCGACATTTATTTGCAGTCTCTGTATGAAGAACAGTTGCCGCCACGGAACAGCGCAACATTCCATGTCTGCACAACTTTCCTGCACCCCGAGGTCATTGGCAATCAGAAAGTACATTGGACGAAAAACGGATGGGAGGACGCAATCAAGAATAGACCACGGAAGTTGCATCGACTGAGCAATGAACTGCGACGCGCGACAACCACTGTAATACATGTGAATCATAACAAACATTGGATTCTTCTTCTGTTGCTCAATGTCAGATCCTTCTTGGCAGTCACTCAGGACAACCATGTCTACGAACCTCCTATCGCCATCGTCGTTGACTTCTTAAAGGGAAGAAGCGAGAGGAATGAAAGGCCTTGTGAACATTTATGTGGCACGAGTACCTCCACGAGGCATCGAACTCGGGGGTGTTGACACCGGAAAAGGTTCATACATCGTGGGTGACATGTAGAGATCTACTAGGAAGTAAACTTTTGTATGGAGAATGCTCGTAACAGAACAATTACACGAACTGTGGTGTCTATGTGTGTTGCATCGCTGCCACTGTAGTAAAATTTCTTGCAAGAACTGCACCGAAGGATGTGAGAGGCAAGGACGTACAAGAAGTTGTTAAAAGAACAATGGTGGACGAAATAACTTTTCACCAATTTGGCTAGTCTATGGTGGACCGGCTCGCTCGCTATGCTGCAGTTACAAAAGGTAACGGTACATTCGCGGCCTCACACATAGCGACTGCGTTGAGATGCGTCATAAGCAGAAGACAGAGCAGCACTTCGTAAACCTTGAATTGTCGTTGAGGTCGTCAAAGGACGATGCGAGGAAAGTTCACTACTGCGGGCATTTGTTACATAAAGACCGGTGGCTTGACATGTTGATTGGCCCACAGTAGCCAACGATCTCGCGGTGATGGTCGGGGACATCTTTCAAGTTTTTCTTTGTTTGTTTTATTCTTGTTATTGTAACAATGCGAACCTGTGCCACCTGACAATACTATACAGTCATTCCGACACACAAAGAGGTTGGTAACTTAAATAACGTCGCAGTATCAACAATAAGATCTTGGTTGTGCCTCTCTCTCTCTCTCTCTCATTCAATATGGTCATTACACTTCAGGAGTGTATGGATCGACGCACGATATTGCTGACGCAGTTGTTGTTCGTATTCCACTTTGATGTATGTGGGGAAAAAAAGGGTCATGGCTCCAAGGCCAAAATACGAGGATCTGTGCAGGTCTTTGAAGGCCGTGGGAAAGAAGGACAAGGGGAGGAAGAAATGCAAGGCTGATAAGAAAAAAAAAAAGGAGAGTATCGCAGAAGCGGATCCCTGAATGCAAAAACGGAGCGGACCAGCAGCCGCAGAAACGGATCAAAAGTTTCTCTCCCATCAAGTCAGAGGGAGATTTCAAAGCTGAAAGAACGCAACGAGTCACCCGCAGCGACTCCTGCCCCACGGAACCGTGCCAGCGGTGTCGAGAACCGTCCACCCAAGACCCCCGAGAAAAGGTCGCGGAAAGACGGAATGTCAAAGGTGCACCTCACGACAAAGAAGAGAATCACGTACAAAAAGAACAGAATGGTGGAGATGATCGATCTGAGAGGCTCGGACGATATGCACAGCGAGGCCCTAGAGGAAGCAGAAGAGGAACACGACTAGTCCATATCAGAAAAGTCTGACGAGGAGGAGAATGAAGCAACAAGTGATGAGGGAGGTGACAGTGAAACTTTCGACGGACATTCTCGCGACACTCAGGACGCTGATGACGAGGACGGTAGGAGCAGCGACGGCACAACGCAGGACAAGGGTGGTGACGGGGCAGGCAAAAACGACAGAACGCGGACGGAAGAGAGAGTTCCCCATCTCCGGGAAGAACGCGACGCACGAGGGAACCAGAAAGTGGCGGCGAGGGAGGCGCAGCCGACGCGCGCTCGATTGACAGACAACTAGTGAGGCATGACAACGCAGTTCAAAAAGTTAAACAAAATGTGTTGCTGTTGCTCTTCTTGCACAATGATTACGTGGTAACGGCGCAAAGTGATGACATTTCCTTAATGCGAGGATGTCCCTGTGACATACGAATAGTTGAAACGGGCTGTCGAATTTCGCAGGTGTGAAAATGGGTGTGAAATGCCGAGTTCTTAATATTATTTTGTGCGTTGTAATGTGTGTCTTCCAGCAGATGGCACGAACTCGCAAAGAAAAGTGTGCGCGAGCAGGGGAGGACAACAACAAGCCAATCAAGAAAGCGGTGTATTCTCGAAGAAAATGAAGGACAGACTGTTACGGTCGGTCGCAAAAGCCTTTGCGTTCTCAATAGCAAATGACTCAACTTTTTCCCCAACAGAGGATGAATTTTTCACGGCGCTGCAAACAACGACGAAACTGATAGGGGAAAACGCGGAGGAAGGACTGCGATCACACGTAGCGGAGTGCGGGATTTGAGCAGTCATAGGGGAGTGTAACATAATGATGACAACCGTGCGTGGAGAGATAACATGGCAACTGAAACATTGGTTCTGGGCTCAAAAAAGGGATTCCGCTTGTACGATCGCAACAAACAGATCACCAGCTCCCTACTCGCAAGAAGATGCGAGCAGAGATGAAGGAGAACAAAACGTGGAGACTGAGCGGCGACGATCCTTCGCCCCAGCCTTTAAGACGGCACTCACCAAGGTTTTCCAGATGAGGAGGGACGGCGTGAACCTTGGCGTGACCCTGCAGCAACTGCCTTTTGCAGAGATGGTTCTGCACTGTGAAATGGAGCAGACAACAAAGACCAACAGAGTGGCGGAGCAGATAGGAAAATTGGTCTCTATAAAGCAGGACATCGCATCATCTGTCCGCAGCCGCGATATAGTCATGAGTTTTTCGATCTTGAAGTTGAACCGAGCCGTATTTGTTGCTGAGAAGGCTGCTGCGCTATTTCGAGCTGGCGTGCCCTCTGTCCACAGGAGTGGGCCACAGAACACAACAATAACGGATGACGATTTCGACCTGGAGTTCATTGCACCGCTGCATGAGAGAAGCAAAGATGGGGAGAGGGATACAAAAAGTCTGTGCGCCAGAGCTTGAACAGCGGGGGAGGGGGGGGCGGGCCGGGAGAGGTGGTGAACACAATAGTGTGAATCAGAAGGTTCATTACGGAATCTGTGAGTCAGAAGGTTCATTACACAAGGTCACGGTCATTGCATGCTAGAGAGAGAGAGAGAGAGAGAGAGAGAGAGAGAGAGAGAGTCACACACACACACACACACACACACACACACAGAGACTCTGAACCATGACACTTGAACAGTCACTTTACAACATATGGTCTATTATTTATGATACATAATTGTACAATCCCTTGTAATGCTCATCTTTGTGTGATTGGTCATAGAGCGACTTTATTATGAAAAAAACATCATCCGTGGTTGTCCTCAATGCAAGGTTGGCTAGTGCGTGCCACTCTCTTTCTCATGCCACCATGTTGCTAAATTTGTGTCACGCAGTAGTGAACCGTGCTTGTAGCAGGACAGCTCAACATTTAACTGAGGCTCCCTCACACGTTTATCCATAGAATGAAGCACATCAATCCTACGAACTCGAAAAGGAAGGTTGGCTACAGCGTGCCACTCTCTCTCGCGGACGCCCATGTTGGTAAATTTGTGGCCCGCAGTAGTGAACCGAGCTTATAGCAGGGCATCTCAGCATTTAATTGAGGCTCCCACACGCGTCCGTCCATAGAATGAAGTACAACAATCCTACAAACTCGAAAAGGAGGGTTGGCTATTGCGTGCCACTCTCTCTCGCAGACTGCCATGTTGGTCAATTTGTGTCACGCAGTAGTGAACCGTGCTTGTAGCAGGGCAACTCACCATTTAATCGACGCTCCCGCACACGTCCATCGGCAAAATGAAATACCGCAATCCAGCACCAATCAAAAACAAAGGCTGGCTACTGCGGGCCAATGTTTGTCTCGCACTGCCATATTAGTGAATTTGTGTCACGCAGTAGTGAACCCTGCTTGCAGCTCTCTCTCTCTCTCTCTCTCTCTCTCTCTCTCTCTCTCTCTCTCTCTCTTTCTCTCTCTCTCTCTCTCTTCAGTCATTGTGGTCGTTGCATATCAGGACTACTGGAAGACTCAACGATTGACATTTGCAAAAGAGCATAGCGTATCGAGCAGCAGAGATAAAAGTGTGGGAAAAAACCGCGAAAACCGACGACATGAGCCAAAAATTTTGATTTTTTTCCCCTTACACAAAACATAATGTTATACAAAAGGTGACCACGTTTCAACAAGTTTTCAACACGTTTCAACAAGTTTTCAACATGTTTCAACAAGTTTTCAACACGTTTCAACAAGTTTTCAACACGTTTCAACAAGTTCTCCACAAGTCTTCAACAAGTTTTCAACAAGTTGTCAACAAATGGTCAACAGATGGACCAACATGCTTTCAACAAATGGACACACCAATTTCAGTTTTCCCAATGTTTGGTCAGCGTTTGTTTCCTTCACTTCTGGTGGAACACATGACCCCCCCCCCCCGCCAAACAGTTTATAAACACAGTTCCAACGGTTGAAATATGGTGTCCACATGTGATCATCCTGTCAGAAAATTTGCCACAATTTTTCTGTTGACATGACCACTAAGGTCATGCGATTCCTCATGCACTGACGTGAAATCGTTTGCTTTCGTCGCCTTTCGTGAGGATGGGCGTAAATATGCCACGGTAGTGGCCCGAGCTTCCGTGACCTCATCGTTCACCTTGTCGTGAAACCTTACCTTGTTACAGATATATGCCACGTCATCGTCTGCTATCGAGGCCCGCATACTGTGGAAGTGCACTCAGTGGTGAGGCGGCAGGGACGGGAATGTGCGATCGAAGAGGAAGTGAAAGCAAAAGTGCCCTGCGGAAGAATATAGCAGCAGCGCGAGAATCGGTTGGGAGCAAACATTGTACCCGAGGAGAGAGCAACAACATGCATGCAGTGCAAAATCGCTAGCAGCCAAATGAGAGATGCGGGGCAGTATGTCAACTGCAGCGGATCAGGTTGCGCGACGTGCGGGGTGGCTGGAGGTGGGTGATGGCGTTCGCACGAGATGTGCAATCTTTGTGAGCAGACCTGGCAGCGATTGCTCACAACTATGACGTTATGCGTTCCGTGGTGCCGAGAAAAACGACTGCAGTTCAATTGCTGCGGGCATGTGGTCGACACGAGAGACATCAACGTGGCTTCACGAATAACATCTGTCGTTCATGGCTTGCGACAGGGTTATGGCGTCAACCTCCGCAACTTTCGGATAAGGTGTATTTTCAGTAGTGTGTCCCCTGTGCATGAAAAAAATCGAAATCCAAATCCGTGCTGGGGGCGAGGGGGGCGCTTTCATAATCCCACGCTTCGGCGAGAATGGAAAGGCTTGCCCGGTTCGGCAACGTGCTTCGAAGACCGTATCGACAGGCCTGTAGGCCTGCGGTCGTGCCGGCCATGTCGCCCGATGGATGCACAGGCAAGGGCTTCACAACAACGATCGACGACGCTTGTGCAGCGAGTTGGCTGGCCTGTTTTCTCATGCGACCCTTGACGGTACCGACATCCCTTTTTGCGTTTCGGGTGGTGGCACCGGGTGCCTGTTTGGACAACTCTTTTTTGGGGGGGCGAGGGACCGTGCGAATAACCCTGCCTGTAATGGGTTCGACGTGGACCCTCAGGACGGACGGTAAAGGCACAGCGGATGTCATGGCGGGGGCCGTTGACCTTTTTTCACCAGGTCCCTCCGTTCGTCATTGGGCCTGGCCATGCATGATCGAGGGATAGTACCGGTATGTGGTGAAGGAACAAAACGCTCGTGCAATCGTTTCGGGTTCCCCCGATAGGCGTTGTGTGGCCGAACGATTGCCTCATCGGATGATCGAGATTCGACCTCCACACTGGGCCTGGCGGGTGCCGATTCGAGGTGATCGACACCACGCAGGCGCTCTGCCATTTTGTTCGCGTCGCCACATTCTTGCGCGTCACCACTTTCTTTCACGTCGCCACCTCTGCTCCACGCTAACGGCTTCCGAGTGATCGGAGCGAAGCTGGTGCTCTTCCATTTCAAATGCGCTTTCTTTCTTTGTGTCCACGTGCACCACCGTCATGCCTGTGTCCACGTGCACCACCATTGAGCTGCGACATCGTCACCCGCCAATCGAAAACTTCAAGGCACGTCCTGCTGTACGATTGAACAACGACATCACGAACGTCATCCATGGTTGAACGTCTAGCGAGCCAGAAACTGTTTCCACGACTTATTGGTCGCCCAGACGCCAATCTGACTAAGTGAGCGTCCTTGCTCCAAGCATTTACGCTATCGTTTTTCACGCCATTCACGACAGCCGCGTTGAGTTGCTCCCTCAAAGTTCTGAGACCTATCAACCTATGTGCACTGATGTGTTTGACGACGACGCCGGCCACTGCTCATCATCGCCATTGTTAAAACCGAACCCTTGCCTCGCTTTTAGTCTATCTGCGTCTCTCTCTCTCTCTCTCTCTCTCTCTCTCTCTCTCTCTCTCTCTCTCTCTCTCTCTCTCTCTCTCTCTCTCTCTCTCTCTCTCTCTCTCTTCGCACTGATGTGTTTG